ATTCGAGCCACAGCTATTAATAGCACTAGCCAAACAAAGCTCGAAATTCCTGAGATGTAATCACTTGCTCTAGGGAAAGATCCGCTTTTGAATAAAAATCAAATCCAGTGCTCCGTGCTCCAGTCAGGTATATTGTAGATATATATGTGAGATAGTCAAATGTAATGCTCTTATGTTCAACTCACGTAACTCCTCCCCTTTCTCTTGTTTTTTTCTCCCTCTTTTTTCCCCTCTCCCCCATTCCTCAACAGTCGTGCAGCCGAGGCATAATCAATCTTATTTTTAGAATATTTGTATTTATTATGTAGACAGTGTTCTGTCTGCATGTTTGCCTACATACCAGAAGAGGGCACCAGATAGATGCCCTCTTTATAGATGGTCATGAGCCACCATGGGGTTGACTGGGAATTGAACTCAGGACCTTTGGAAGAACAGCCTCTGCTCTTCTGAGCCATCTCTCCAGCTCTGGATAACCAATCTTAGCTCTGGGGGATGGGGCTATAGGCGGGCGCCTCCACACCTGGCTGTTCAATCACAGCACTGGCGATTGAACCCAGGGCTTCTGCACGTGAAACAAACCCTCTACCCACTAAGCTACTTCTCCAGCCCTGCTTATTTTAATCATATTATCATGATATATAATTACAATGTTTGGATACAAGAGGCTGTTTTCATTAGAAGTAGTAAGGCTTATTACCACTCTGCAAGAATTTCCCCAATTGCAAAGCTGTAAAAACAAGCAACTCAACCACCCATATTAAAAAAAAAAAAAAAAAAAAAAAAAAGAAGGCTAAACTGAACTCATAGCTCCTATTTTAAGAACAAGGTAATTATATAGATCATGATAATGACCCATGGATATTGGTAAATTCATTGCAGCTTGATAATTACACTCCGAGAGTTCAGATCAGTGTGTTCCTTATTTTTCTGTAGAAGCTGCAATTTAGACTCAGCTTTAAACCCTGCAATGAAAGGACCTCTTCGGACTCATAAAGACTAGAATTCCCAAGTCTCTGTAGTTTCCATCTCCTGTTGTCTCCTTTTTTTTTTAAATGTGTTTTAATGTGGTGAGAACAATCAATTCAGTTTTACAATGTTTAATCAGTAGACTGTTTTTTTTTTCGAAAATCTCTGAAAACAGCTGAACAAAAGTAACAAAGAAGGCGTGTCCATCTGAAACCTGAACAGCTGTCATCACAACCGAGAGAGAAAGAGGAGAGAGAAAGAGAGAGAGAGAGCCAACTGGGGGGGGGGGATAATATTCATTCACCAGCCTTGACTTCCAAGGTTTCATGTAGAATAATTTGCTGTAGGTTTTGAAGCCAATAGCCACCCAGCCACTGGGAAAAGACTTCAGGAAAAGGAAGCAGTTGACGTCAGCTCGGATCACCGCTTCCCAGGGCGGCCCCTGAAGTTCTGCTTACATACTTAATTAATACACTCAACTATAGTCATTATATGATTCTCGCCCAGTGAGGCTCGGCCCTCACCAGCCAGGACTCTTATTGTATCATTTCTGTTTTCTCAATGCCTTTATACAGCTATTGTTTAGAACACAGCAGCCCTGTTATAGATGTTTGTCAAGGAGACAGTACTCATTTGGGTAAATATACGTTCTGACCCGTAATGGGTGAGTCTGGGTATAGCACTTGCTGAGGCTATTCTTGGCTCTTGCCCACTTTGAAGAATATCCCTTTCAGAAATCCTCCAGTTATATAAAACCATGCTCCACTTAAGTTTAAGATGCATGAAATTTTAAATCACAGGAATAAAGTTGAAAATAAAAGTGAGGTAGTTTTGACATCAGAATATTGTGGATGGGAGCGGAAAGAGAAGCCCTTTGTTGTACTGCTCATGATAGGAGACACTCAAGAAGAAGACACTTCAGAGTTACATTTCCAAATCGTTAAGAAACGCTTGCCCCTAGGGCAGAAGTCGCGCCTTTCCTTTGTCCCCTGGAAAAGCAAAGGTCTCCAAATAGAGACACAAAGTTATTAAATCCACTGCAGATTACAGTAGTTTAAAAAAGTCTACCATATCAAAATTAGTGATGGACGTAAGTAACCCTCATTATAGTAACATGTACAGCCCCAAATGATAATTTTAAAATATTGACAAAGAAAAGATTTCATCTGGTAGACTGTGGTTGTGTTAACTGTTAGCTTGACAGGATATGGAATAACCTAGAAGGCAAGACTCTAAGCACATTATAAGGGATTATTTAGGTTCGTTTAGCCTACAGGCATATATCTTAGGGTTTTATGGCTGTGAAGAGACACCATGACCACAGAAACTCTTTTAAAGGAAAACATTTAATTGGGGATGGCTGACAGGTTCAGAGGTTTAGTCCGTTAATGTCAGGGCAGGAAGTGTGGTGTCACACAGGCAGACATGGTGCCAGAGTGGGAGCCGAGAGTTCTATGTCACCATCGGCAGGCAGCAGGAGGAAAGAGAGAGATGCTGGGCCTGGCTAGAGCATCTGAAACCTCAAAGCCCACTCCCGGTGACACACTTCCTCCAGCAAGGCTGAGGCCAGGCCTCCTAATAGTGCCACTTCCTGTGAATGGAGGCTATTTTCATTCAAAACATTGCAACGGACCTGTGGGGGGCTTTTCCTGCTTCTATAATGAAGGTGGGAAAACCGCATGTCTGAGTTGCTTTCTGTTGCCCTGACAAACATCTTCACCAAAGGACCTTGGGAGGAAAGGGCTCATTTCTTCTTATTGCTTACGGTCTATTGTGAAAGGACGTCAGAGCAGGCACTCGGAGGCAGGAACTAAAGCAGAACCACAGAGGAGAACCACTCGCTGGCTTGCTTGCTCCCCACGGTTTGCTCAGCCCACCTGGCCAGAGGTGGTTCTGCCAACAGTGTGTTGGGCCTTCTTGAATCACATCAGTCATTCATTAAAAAACTAAAACAAAACAAAACAAACCCCCAAACCAAAATAACAAACAACAACAACAAAACCAAAACAAAACAACAACAGAACCCAAATCAGACCTGCCTGCAGGCCACTCTGATGGCAGCAATTCCTCTGTCAAGCTTCCCTCTTTCCGGATGACTCTAGCGTGTATCAAGTCAACACAAACATTAACCACCGGCGAACCCTTCCCTGTAGTGTCCCCACGCCCTTGCTGGGATCCCGAGGAGGAGAAGGAGAGCTGAGCAGCATGCACTCCCTGCTTTCTGCTCCGGATTGTGGCCGCAGTGGGAGCAGCTGCTTCAAGCTTCTGCCACCTTGACCTCACCACAAGGAGGACCCTGTCCTTGAACCCTGGACTGCATCAAGCCTCTTCTTCCTTAACTGGCTTTTGTTGGAATTTTTTTTTTTTTTAATCACAGCAAGAGAAGAAGAAACAAAGTGAAGTGTTTATAAGGCGGACTTCACATTATTAACCAGTTAAAATGAACCGAGGCAATCCTGAATGCATTCACAGCATTTGCTAACCCCACCCCTCTCTAATCCCCAAAGCGTTTCTATTGCTCCAAAGGGATAGCTGAGCCCGTGAGCCAGTCATGCTCAGTGACCTGCTCTTCTCGGGCCCTGTCTAGCCCACTCTTGGTTTTGCCTTGTGGGTTTACCCGGTGAGCAGAATCACACGGTGTGTGGCCAATCGTCTTTATCTTCTTTCTCTTAGGAATCGGGAGGCCTGTGGCTCTGGACTAGGGCTGTGTCAATCCTGGGGTACTGCCTGGACTCACTGGAATGACGTAAGTATTTGAGAACGGTTTGAGGACTATTAACCATAATTTTGGGGTAGAGTCATTCCGGATGACTTATTTCATATGACTTAGAACATTTGGGCCTAATCAGACCAGATTCCATTTCTTCAAGTGCAATGTGAAGAAAATGAGCTTTGCCTAATTGGATTTTTAAGTGAAATACTGTATCATACTTAGAAATATCTACCAGGTAACACTTGGTAGATATTGAATTCATGGTTGTTGTTTTTTGTTTTAATTTGTGGGTGTGTGTGCTCCCTTGGAAGCCAAGAAAAAAAAAAGTGCATCAGATCCACCTGGAGTTAGTTACAGGTGGTTGTGAGCCCTCGGACTTGGGTCCTGGGAATGGTCTTCTGGTCCTCTGCCAGAGCCGCAATTGCCCATAAGGGATGAACTATCTCTCCGTCCCTTTCATTCATGGCATTTAAGACCCCTCTATTTACACCCTTTCCTAATGTTTAAACATTTCCTGTTAGCACACGGCATGATGGTGTTAAACGGGCTTTTTTTTTTTTTTAGTGCATTTTTATGGGGGCACACGGAAGGTGCGTGCTCCTGTTTGCTGATGGCTGTCCCAGCTGGTGCTGTCAGAGGCTGTTAGATTTTTGCAGATCTCACTTTGCCTAGGTATATCTCTCCACGGTGTTTCCGCTTCCAGGTTTTCATTCAGATAATCGAGGAACTTGTTCTTCTGCCCTCTGCTCTTCTAATCTTCGGTTCAGCTTTGATTTGTGCCGCAAACACAACCAGCCAGGTTGTCCATCTTCGGCGGCAGAGGGATCGATGAAAGACACTGATCTCTTACACACAACCAAGTCCTACCAAATATACCAAACCTTCCCTCAGACTCTTTTCTTCTCAGATAACCTCCTGTGTTATTTCTCATCGAAAACTTGAACTTTGACAGATGCGCACTTCTCGATGTATTAGAATTGAGGCCGGGAGTTCTCTGGGCTGCGCAGTGGCGCCCAGGGCCACCGGGTTTGGAAGGCAAGGCCGAGCCAGCGTCGATAAGGGCTTCAGGGGTTCGAGTCCCACCAAAGCACCGCGTCCTAGATTCCGCAGGTGTCGGGGGTGGGGAGGGCGGAGCATCGGGGGCGTGGCCGAGCAGGGCGTGTCTCGGGGCTCCGCCCCCTCTCGCGTCGGCGGCTGCGGCGCCTCCCCCGCCCGCGCGTCCTTGCTCGGCGTCCGGCCCGCCTCGCCCCCGCGCGGGCTCCTCGCTCTGTCTGGCCGCTTCGCTCCGGCCTCGCCGAGTCTGCAGCGGGGCGTCGGGAAGATGGCGGCGCGGGGAGGCGGCGCGGGGGGCGCGGGCCCGGAATCCGGACCCCGTGCCGGGGCGGAGGGAGAGGCCGCGGAGCCCGCGCTGCGCCCGGGGGAGGTGGCCACGCTGCACCCTCAGGAGGTGGCCGCGCGGCTGCAGCGGATGCGACGGGAACTGAGCAACCGGCGGAAAATCCTGGTGAAAAACCTGCCCCAGGACAGCAGCTCCCAGGTACGGGCGCCAGGCCGGGGTGACCGGGCTGGGCTTGGGGGACAGTGCCATCCGGAGGAGTCCGTGATGGTCCGGGCGCCCGGGAGAGGGAGGGCAGCGTGTGGGGAAACTGAGGCTGGGCGAGGCGGGACGGCTGGTGCTGGGACGGGGGCTTCGGGGGCGGTTGTCCACGCGTCTGGCCCGGACTTTGTGTTCTCTCCAGCCCAAGGCGATGTCGTAGGTGGGTGGAGGCGCGTGGAAGGGAGCTGGGGGGCTCAGATTTAGGGGACCGGCTCCCGGAGCCCCCCTCGGGGAGGGGAAGGGGTCCCGCGGAGGGGGTCGGAGACTTGCGTTGCCACGGGGGGCGGCGTCCCGGGAGAGCCGGGAGAGCCGTGCTGCAGAAGCACTTGACCAAGTTTGTATGAAACAACTTTGCTCCGCTTGCGAAGGCCGCAGAGAGCCGAGGTTGACCCTGCGCCGGGAGATCTTTGCAGCCCTTTTGCCAAACCAAGTATGGCAGGATTTGTACCTCACTGGCTTGCGCGGAGTTTAAAGTTAAGCTACTCAGCATCTTTAATCCAGATTAACTGTTGCTTCTGGATCAGAAAGCCTGGGTCGATTTAACATTTTTTTTTTTTTTCCTGATTTCGAAAGTTAAAAGCTTGTTGTAGGGGAGCATGAGAATTTGGGGGATTTACCTCCGATTCATATTCATTCATTCTCAGAGTTTACCCCCATCCCTTTTTTTTTTCTTTCCCCCACGTTTTCTCCTTTCTTTCTTTGAGACAGCATTTTTAGTATCCCAGGCAGTCCTTGATGAATTCCTGATCCTTCTTTCTCCACCTCCCATGTGCTGGGATTTCAGGTGCGCACCACACGCTCAGCAAAACAGCCCTGTGTGTGTGTGTGTGTGTGTGTGTCCCCTGAAACTTCATGAGTGCATGCAGCGCTCCACCATCTGAGACCCCCCATGCCGTGTTACCTTTCTCCCCTTTCTTGTGTACACGTATGCAGATGGATTTTTTAAAATCCAAGACATGAAAAACAGTTTAATGCTCTTTAGGTTTCCTACGTGTGCAGATGGTCTGACATTTCATGGATAGGTATTTAAATATGTAAACTAAATCTGCTGAGCTGCCTCGATAGGACGGCAAAACAAAAGGGATGCTAAATGCCTACTTCATCACCGTCGGTAGACCTTATGTAGACACAATAAACACGAGCCAACAAACTCGTAACATGTCGTCGGGGGCATCTCATCATCATAAGACATGCCGCAGCGCCAACTTTCCTCTGTCAGGTGATGTTCCGTGTTGCTGCCTGAAGGACCTCTGCAATGGAAAAGCAGCCTTCCTGCCAATGAATGGTGAAGGTCTCCTTGGAGCTCAGGGAGAGGGGTGCTTGGGAGAAGCAGGTGGCAGAAGCATCGCCTCTGATGGACAGTCTAGCAGAAGATGGAGAAGTGTCTGGATTTTCTCTGCAGAATGTCAACTATTTCTGTTATCATGTTCCCCTGCATGAAGTCTGAAAACACTTAATGCAAATTCAAGTCAGTTCTGTCTGTTCTTGCTTCGCTGTTCCCGTCTGCATTTCTGTTCCTAAAAGAGGTGGAGAATAAACCCAAGGATTTTAGGAACTATTTCAGTCCCACCTCATATGTAATGACAGAAGGCTTTTTGAGATTCAAGTCTGTGATTGTTTTGGGGGCAGGGATGGTTTTTTTTTTTTTTTTTCTGTTTTAAACTTATTAAATCTCAGGATTTTCTGTAAAAGTAGCAAGTTTATTTGCATAAACTAACAAATAAAATTGGTTTAAGTTGTCTCAGTGAAGTCATTTAAATTCTTACATCAAGCTCAATTCTTATGCCATATAGATATATATTTATATATCATAATAATGTTCATATATATGGCATAATGCATATGTATCCATGTGTGACATAACTGGAGAGATTCACCTAAAAGTCAAACCAGAACTGCCAGTCAGTATTTAAGCAAAGGTTTCCTGACTTGTCCTGCCATCGATGTTTTCTCTAGTAATATGTTTAATAAAATGTTTTGATAGTTCTGATACATGGATTTGAAATCTAAACGGATGTCTTAGGTTCCGTGTGAGGTATGTAGGAACGTGCTCTTTGTCCACTCCTCCCCACAGCCTCCTCATCCTCAGCACTTGTATTAGCTTTGCCAGTTTTCTGTTCATGTTCATAGCTAACAATGGCCAATGTTACTTAAGTGAAATAGGCTTAAGTATGCTAACTTCAAAAACATAATGAAAGGAAGTCCAATAGATTATTTTTCTTTAATAATGGATGTTTTTCCTTTTCTAGTACAATTCAGTTTCTGTGTTGTATTTCATGAACATGTTCAATATGACCTTTTTTTTTCTCCTTTGGGATTTTGTCTTTAATGTCCCTCAACAATGTATGGTTTTTCCTTAGTGACTATATTTTGTTTTCAACTTACTAATGAAAGTCTAACTTTCATTTATATGTTTTTGCCAGGAAGGATTATATTACCTGAACTAAAACTACATACTTAACTGTTATAAAGGTTGTGTTTAATTATTAATCAGTTTTTTGAAATAATCAATTTCTAGAGTTTATGTAATTCATTCATTTATTTTAAAATATCACTCTAAGGGCTGACCTAGTTGGCTTTCTGTTACTGTGATTGAAACCAAAAATAGAGTTGGTTTTAGTTTATGGCTTATTGTCCATCGTCAAGGGAAGCCAGGACAGGAACTCAGGGCAGACCTGGAGGCAGAATCTGAAGCAGAAGCCACAGGAACACTGTTGATTGGTTCGCTTCCTACGGCCTTCTCAGCCTGCTTTCTTATACAACTCAGGACCCACAGTGATCTGGGTTCTCCTCTATCAATCATTAATCAAGAAAATACCCCACAGCCTTGCCCACAGGCCAATGGAGGCAGCTCCTCAACTGACATTCCCCCTTCCTAGCTTGTGTCAGGTTGACCAAAAGCCTAACGAGCACAGGTTGTCAGACTGTACAGAAGCTACTGTTTGCTCCTTGATTAATAGTAGCCTGATAATTCGTCCTTAATATTTTAAAAACACAGATATTTTATTTTCGGAATGTGTATGCACATTTATGTATGTGTATCATGTGCATGCCTGAGGCCCACAGAGGTCTGAGAAGGGCATCGGGTCCCCTGGAACTGGAGTTAGTTCTGAGTGACTATTAGCCTCTGTGTGGGTGCTGGAAACTGAACCCCAGTCCTCTGAGGTTCATGTGCTCCTACTCACTGAGCTGCCTCTCAGCCCTTCCTGCACACCCATCTTTTCTGAGGCAGCGCCTCTCACTGTTCTGGAGCTCACCCATTGGTCCGGGCTGCCTGGCCAGCAAGCCCCAGTCTTCTCCTGTCTCCCCCTCCCCAGCCCTGGGATTACAAGAATCTGACATTTTTGCAAAGTTCTGAAGATTGAACTCAGCTTGTGATGCCAGCACTTACTGACCAAGCTAGTTCCCCAGCTTCTGGGTAATTTCTTTTTTAAATGTAGCTCTTTAAAATACAATTTTAATTTCTTTTACATGTTTGTGTAACATTTACAGTGACATCCTACAGCTTCACAGTTTCTGTGATTTAAATATTTATAGAAAGTATTTTTAACGTGATGCCTTTAGAAGTACGTGCATGAAATACCTTATAGAAATACAAACTATAAAATCCTGCTGGTCCCGATGGCACAGGCCTGTAATACCAGCTCTTTGGGAGGTTGAGGCAGGGGCACTGTAAGTATAAGATCTTCCTGGGCTACAGAACAAGTTCCAGGTCCAGCCTGGGCAACTTAGTGAGATCCCATTTCAAAAAGTCAAAAGCAGAAACAGAGATAGTTGGGAATATAGCTCAGTGCTTGGCTGGCAAACGCCTGGGTTTGATCCCCAGTCCGGGGGCATAACATGGTACACATAAGCACACACATATAGACACAGGTTGAAGTCTTTATAGTAATATTACTATATGTCCAGCCAGACCCGCTCTCCTCTGTCCCCTTAACTTCCCACAAGCTTCTTGGCTCTTGTTTTCCCAGGCCCAGCTTTGAATCAGATCTCTCTACCTTTTCGGAAAGATTCTTGTAACTTTTCAGTTTGTCATTTCCCATCGCTTGTGTCTTAGCCTGTCCTCCTTCATACAGTATCACTGTATCACTTAAGAGATAAATCCCAGCCTCCCCCCCCCCTTTTTTTTTTTTTTTTGCTTTAAAGAAGTAAAAATCCCTGAGCCAAGGAGATGGTTCTTTGGATAAAGGCACCCATTCTCCAAGCATGAGGACTGGAGTTCTGTTCTCAGAACCCCAAAGCCATGCCGCTTAGCACTCAGGAGACGGAAACGAGGGGTTTCCCAAGGCAAATCAGCTAACTACATTGGGTTCCAGGTTCAGCTGAAGATCCTGTCAGTAAATCGGAGGACAATCAGGGAAGACTTGCAGTGTCTCTTGCAAGCCTCCACGTGCGTGGCACATTCCACAGGCACCTGCACACACATACACACAGGAAAAATAAATTAAAAATGACCCTGCAGAAAACCAGTGGCTTCATCTACCCACTACCCGTCCCTCAACCGTTCTTCATAGTAAAAAATAGTGGCTCTCATTTAGACTGCGGAATGAGTGAAGCTGGCTAAAGTTTTGTGTTCTGTCTGAAAATTTTCTGTGTTATGTTCTACCAGTAACTCTGGATTTAAAAGCGATTTCGCTAAAGCTCGTTACAAAATACGTTTCTTTTCTTTTTTTCCTCTCTGAAATTTGACATTTATAGAAAGTGTACTTTTTTTTACCCTATGGCTTTCCATATTCCTGTTCTTTTAAAAAATTATTATTTTTAGCTTATTGTATGTTTGCTTGCATGTATATGCGTGCACTTTGTGTATTCCTGGTACCCAGGGGTGCCAGAAAAAGGTGTTGGAACCCCAGGAACTGAAGTTACAGGCAGTTAGTTGTAAGCTGCTGTTCGGGCACCAAGAGCCAAACCCAGGCTGTCTGAGAGGGCCACACGTGTTC